ATTCAAGATAAAGATTTTATGACTGGCAATGCATGATCCTCTGCTTTCTGATGCAAAGTGAGACCGGCAAATGTTTCTATACAATCACTCTGAATCCAGTTGTATAGTGATATTAGTTTGAATGTTAATGTTTGAAAGTGATGCTGAGCTGCATATTCATGTTTATTAGAGTAATTCACCACACCAGGAGGTGTTCAGGAACTGGAAAATTTAAGAGGCAATGCATAAGGGGATGTTTTATTTGTAAAGTGTATACAGAAGAGGAGCCATTAAAAAAGGACTGAATGGCAACCTAAAATATGCAGGAGGTGTGTACTTGAGGAAAAGCTGTCAGGAAATATGCACGTGTCCATGCTGAATGGGCACAGCAATCAGCAACATCACAGAAAACATTCTATGCTGCCAGTGATTCTCTCAAAACCGATTGAGTCACCTGAGGCAATGCAACACCCTGGAAAACAAGACTGATGAAACCTACATGATGATCATGGGAAATTAAAACACCATTTCCTTTTGCTAGCAAAAAGCAACCTGCTTTTCAGAGGAAATGTCGTATACCCAGCCCTTCCCTTCATTATTTGCATATTGTGTTGGGTAAATACTACTGGTACTTGGGAACTAAGCAGTAGTTGATACTGTAACTGGAATAGAGCAGAAACACAAATCTCTGTGTTGTGCAGCCTCCATGGTTCTCTTGATCTGGCTCACCACTGTCAGCATGCCCATGTGTGTGTAAAATCCACCCTTTCTCATGTTCTCCAGCTTGAACACCCTGAGAGTAATGCTGTGCTGATGTAATTCAAGGTAATGTTTACTGATTGGAATGTGGATGAAACAGCCTGTGAATAGCTTGATGATGACCTAATTGCAGCCTAAAAGCTTAAAAGAGACCAGTGACAATGCAACAGCTGTAATTTTACATAGAATCACCGAATGGTTCGAGTTGGACCTTTTAAAGGCCATCTAGTCCAACCCCTCTGCAATGAGCAGGGATATCCTCAAGTAGATCAGGTTTCTCAGAGCCCCATCCAACCTGAACTTGAAGGTTTCCAGGGATCGGGCATCTGTCCCCTTTCTGGGCAACCTGTGCCATTCCTTCAATTTTTTTATTGTTTCACATTATTTAGAAGCATTGGTTACTGCACAGAAGGGCCTAAGGAAAGTTATTTATAGAAGAAAAATAGAGAATACATAAAACAGACTTGTTGTATCCTGCGCTTTCCACTTAGTAAAAAGAATAAATGCAGGAAAGAAGAAAAATATGATACTCATTATCCTGTATATTTTACCAATTATTTTAAGGCAACAACAAAATCATTAATTCCAAATAATTTCTAGATGCCTGGCAGGCCAAAATAGAAACTATTTGCATGTGGGAAACACCCTTATGTCTTCATATTTAAGCTTCATCTCTTTTAATATTTTAACTGACATTACCATTTCCTTCCTGTACACAAACATTTTTAGGGTTTACAAAAGTATTCTACTACCTTGTAAGGGATTTTGTCTTCTTGTAAGGAAAAGATGACAACTCACAGGACTGAAAGGGAAAGCTTCTCTTTCCCGCAGACAGATCTGCTCTGCACAGTGTGCCATGGGAAAACCCATTCAGTTTCCCTCTGATGTTGTACAAACTCAGGGTGCCTAGCAACTGATGGGACATATGATTTACTTGCTACCTCTATTACTCTTCTTATTCTGTCTAATTAAAGCAGTTATCTTATTAAGCCATTTGCTGTCAAAGACTTTCTTACTGACCCCGAAAAAGCCCTACCCCATGTCTCTCTGACTTCACCTCTCATTTTCCACCCCAGTACAGAACAGGGTGGTACATGACAGGAAGAGGTGGGTTTGCTTGCACAGCTTACCCTCTGCATTTGGCCTCTTTCTAATTCTTGTTTGTTTAGGAAAGTTTATACATATTTTCCATCTCCAGCACTAGTTTCAAGTTCAGATCTCAGAAAAATTAAATAAATTAATTCTTCTGACTCTTCCATGCAAATTCATAATCTATAATCCATAGGCTGTAATCATGGAAATGCTTACATAAACCCATAATCTTTCACAGCATTATTCCTTCAATGAAATAAATTTAAGTAGATGCACAAATGTTTCTATGACTGAGGACTGAATTTCGTGCGGTACCATATATTTGATCATTGCGCTAAGGCATAACTGTTCTCTTTCTTGTGTTTCTGTTTCCTTACCTATAGTAGCAGCTGAGCAGAGCAGATTTCTGTAAACAAGGTAAGTAACCAGAGAAAATCAGGAAGATATCAGAGACTAACTGAGAAAAGGAGATGGTGAAGATAGTAGTAATAAATGCCTTTATATGCCGGAACTACTTTAAGATCACACTTTTATTCAAAGAAAATAGTGTAAATATTTATTCTTTTATATGATGAAAACAAAGCTGTGGATATTGAATAGTTATCTGTGGATCAATTTGATTTGCAAAAAGTAAGCTTGCAGCCATACATTTTCAAGGTCTCAAAATGAGGTTTTCTCTCAGGCCTGCTTCTAATTATTTATCATTATCTGTTACTAGTTTTTTTTGTTTGTTGCTCTAATTTAATATTCTCTTGAGATCACGGATGAATTTAGCTGTTTTTTGATGAAGTTGTACATTATGAGACATTTTGAATAATACAGGATAATGGATTCATTTCAAAAATTGGCAGAAATGTCAGAAAACATATAAATTTAGGGGATTCAGAATGTATAAAGTATTAGATGTGAATTTCCAGATTGCTAGATGCAGATTTCTTTGTAGCTGTTAAATGAAGTTACCAGATTAGATTTCACTTATTTCAGAGTTGAGGGCATAACCCACCCTTCAAAAATGTAATGGATAATCTATTCTGGTTATTTATACAAGTAGCCTACAATAGTGACCAAGTTACAGGAAAGAAGAAGGGTAAAACTGGCTTTCTGTACTGTTCTGCCCTTCCTTATTATCTCCATCTAACTGCATAAGAAGTGAACCATGCCTATTTTCCACAAGGTATTTATATTTATAGCTCAGCCAGTTAGACTATTTCATGAATAGGAGAGAATGTGTACAGGAGACAGCCTCTCTATTAAGATGCAAAGTGGTCAGTTAAAGTATTTAAGAATCATGTAGCAGCAGCTGTGACAGTGCCAGAGCTAATTAAACTCAGGTTCTAAAAATAAATTTAAAAAGTGCATGGTGATTCATCCCATATTTGATTTTTCCTCCAAGCACTAATTATGTAAATTTACCCTGATAATTGTTGCTTAGACTGGAATCTTCCTGCTATGTATTCATGTCAATAACAAAGATTGAGTCAACCAACCTGTGTGGTGCTTCTGTTGAGGTCTTCATACACAGTTAAGCTTCTGACAACTTTGGCTTCAGCTTTTGCACTAGCTTTAATGCTGTTACAAATTAGTTAATGCCAACGATGTCAACAGTCACCCAGGGAGGAGGAGAAGCCAATTCTCTTGCTTATGTTTCCTCTGTGTGTTAACAGCATGTTGGTTTCTATTTGTTTTCACATATTCAAAAACCTTCACTTAAGACGAGGGACACTGTGCTTGCCCTGTAGTTTGAAGTCTGTGGGCAACCTGAATGCACAGAGGTACAGACATGTGTCAATATTTTGGAGCTACTTCTCCTATGACTTTGAAGCTATAATCTCAGAAACTGAATACAGTTTCTGCTTAATTTGTAAATAACAATCCTAATATTACAGTTAGATCCCTTCATTCAGTTTTCTCTTTTTCTGAAGATGTTAAAGATTTGTGTGTTATCTTCTGCATCTCAAAATACACATGCTTCATACTAGTCAGAAGATGTTTTTGTATAACTTTACAGAAAATTTCAGAAAAACAGATTGGATTAAATATTATTCAGATGTTGTGCCTAATTAACTAAAACTGAGCAGGAGCAGAAACCTCAGATTACTATTACTTAGAAAATTAGATTGTGATGTAAATATTAAAACATGTTTAAGCAAAGTTGTTTTAGCACTCTAAAAATTAAAAATATTTAAATTCAGCAGTTTGATAGCAGCAGATTCAAGTATTTAAAGTGGACTTGAAATATACACTTACTAACTCTGTCCTGTTGCACTACCAAGTATGCAGAAATGTAATGTTTACAATATTCCTCAACAGGGACTTACTAACATGCAATTCTACTTGGACTATCAAGTCCTCCAAGATTTGGCTCCATCACTTCCATAGATTTCACAAACCTTTATAGTTTTTTTCTCTTTGTTTAACCATAAAATGGTCAGCATGACACTGACTTTTAAAAGGTTCCCAAAAGAGCTGCAGAAGAGGAACTACAGAGCAGTAAACCTCAATTCTGCACTGGACAAGTTTGGTGAAAGCCACCAAAAAGAACACAATTAAGTGGGACTGTGGATAAATAATTTCAACTGAGGCAGAATCTATATGGGTATTTTATGACTTCTCTTTACACATGAATCCAATGGGATTCTTTGAAGGAATCAGAAATTATGTGCATTAGACAGGTCCTGCTGATACAGTCTGCTTATATTTCACAACAATGTACCCCTATTTTTGGAAGATCAGGCATAGTTGTGCCTCTGTCTCAAAATGCATGGAGCAAAACTCAAAGAGGCACATAGATGGGTGTAAAAGACTTGGCACGCCTTCCATATCAGAACTGACTAGCTCAACCAGGACAGCTCACCCAGGGAAGAATTTCACGGATTACCAGAGAATGCTTTACTATCTCTGTGAACACATGAATTAAGGGGTTTAAGTAAAACTAGCAGAACAAACAGAACAATACATTCTTCACAAAAAGCAAAACTAAAGCCACACCACATTACTATGTTCTTAGTAGATGTGGTTCACTGACTGATCCTTGATTCCAGCAGAAAAGATGTCCTGATTTTATGAGCAAGCATTGCCTCACAACAAGAAGCAATGAAATGAATGTACAAATTAAATTACTGAGTATTGCACAGACAACCTTCAAATTTCTTAATATTTAAGTGCTTTTATTTACAAATAATCTTTTTTAAGGTCATTGGTACATTGTGCCTAATAGCTCTACCACTCTGAAATGACACACACTGAGCCTGAAACGATTGCAAATGATAGCATTCTGATGCATAAAAACCATACATCTCTCTCCAATACTCCTGCAGCATCCTACTGCAGTTTTCATCAGTTTCAGAACTGATTTTCAGCTGTGATTTTCATTCTGCATGAAAGTTTCTGCCAGCTGTCCCAGTGCTGGAATTTATGAGTTGATCAGCACTATTTGTAACCAAGCAGTGCCTCAAAAAATCTACACCTGTGATGCAGAAATACTGTCGGCACTTCATGGTCTAGACTAACGGGCATGTCAGAACAGCTTTCCTTTTCATGTAACCAATTGAGCAGCTACTTATAAGTATTTATTTCTGAATCATTATGAAAACTCTTGCAGTTCATCTTCCACAAAAACACGAAACACAGGAGATCAGGACAGTAGAAATCTTAGTTGAGCTGAAATATCCTGTCTATGGAGTATAAAAATATCTGGTTTATTTCTAAAATAAGATTATCATGTATAGTTTTAATAACATGCCAGGATTTTTTTTAAGTGTCACAGGTGTGATCATTTGTGTGGTCTTTCCCATAATGATGAATTCAGCAATGCTGAAACCTATAGTCTAACTCTACCAAAAGATTCTATGGTCTAACTCCAGCAAAAGATCTCTCCTATTTTTTCTTAGAAAATTGACTAACTCAGCTGGCTTCTACTACATGAAAACTGTGATTAAGGTATGATTCATCGCATAGGTAATGGCAAAAGATTTTCAGCATGGGCTAACGTAAGACTATACTTTTTTCATCCACATTTTTCCTAAATTCCTACCATTTCTCAGTTCTTAGCACATGCCTGCAGGGGCCCTGAGAGCATGCCCCTCCTGCTTCCACAGGCTCCTGGATGATGCAGGATGATGCAGCTGAGGGTTGCTGTTCCTTCCAGCCAGTGACTTTGGGGTGAGGCTTCCAGGCAGGTTCTCTGTCCCATGGGAACGTCTTTTGGATGAGGCTCCACTGCTCAGCCCCACCTCCTGAATTGTGTAAATTAAGGAAGCTTGGACACTACACAAAATCAAGCTTTCAACAAGCTTTCAAGGAAGTAATTTGGCTCTCCAACCATTTTTTTTCTCACAATTTGCCACTTGTAACAGTGAAGTAGTTATATTCATGAACTATTAATTTAGGCAGCCTTCAAAGATTTTCCCAGAATACTATGTGAACAGAGGGGTTATAGTTTTCTTGAACTTTACATAAGCATTGCAAATACCATTGCTATCAGTGAATTATGATATAGATTTTCAGAAAGAAAGAATGTAGAGATGATCATGTAGCTATTTGATCTCACTGATAGAGATGTGTTAGTTTAAATTGAGTTATATTTGACCTAGATCTGATAAATCAGGCCCCAGAGGTTTTTTTGCAAGGAAACAGTAGCAGTATCTCAGCTAAAGACTATATTATTTAAGAAAAGACCAATGACAGTCACAATCAGAAATGCAAACCTTTCAAATTTCAAAGTTTACGTCTTTTACACAAAATTATCTTTGTGTGTTGATTCTTACATAGCTTGGTAAAAGAGCATTATTTTCATTAATTTATAGGATTGGATTGTATCTTATCATGTACTGATATATAAGACAAGATTATTGTGTTTTCATTTAAGAATATAAATGCTGGACTATGAGTCTAAATTGGTTCCTCTAGAGCCTACTTATAATCAGGAGACAGAATCAGGTAACTCTAGCAGGTAATTTATCTTAAATATCTAAAATAAGTTAGATTAATTACCCCGTGTGGTACGTTCAAAGCAACTTAGGTGGCTAAGATGAATCTTACACAGAGTGTACAAAGGCATTTCCTATCCAAAAAGCACACTGTTAAATGAAGCTGTTGAATGGATTCAGTAAATATCTTCCATATTTACTCAAATCTCACAGAAATCAATGCCTAATATGGAAATAATTATTATAGTATGTACTGGAGCATAAGCATGCTGAAACAACAGATGAAGACTTTCACATAAAATGTCATATTATGAAGAGCACTGAAATGTACTGCCCCATTTCCCTCCTAAAATTTCTAACTCTTTTCCTCCAAGAAAACTGCAAGTGCAGGTACCAGCAGTGTTAGTTCATTTATTCTAAATAACAACCAATAGAAAACTTTGTCAAGCCCTCACTTTGGCATCGTTGCTTTCCTAGTGAAGAAGTCATATATGATCAAGAGAAAAATTTGAGGAAGAGAACAGAGATTTGCTCTGTTTGGAAGAATACATTAAAGTTCATACAGTAACAGTGCTAATTCTGTTGGTTTTAGGGCTCATCTGAAATCCATATTTATTCTTGCCACTTGTAGCAGTACGTTACTCCTATACACAGGATAGAGATAGATTTTAACATTTCACTTTTGGAAATGACCACATCAGCAAAATCACCCACCTTTATTTGTAAGTTCAGTTTTAGTGTCTTCGCTGTGTAAACTGTTTATCATTACTGTTTGTTCTGCACTGAAATGTTAACATGCAGATGGCTGCCTGTCTTTGCACATATTATAGTAGCTTGGGGTACCATAGGTAATTCTTCTCTTGATCATGGGCAATGTTTCAGCTGCAACAATTGGACTCTAATTTCTCCAAGGATTCTATCACTTGTGTCCTGACCTTTGGTAGCTATAGCAGACTTTTATCTGAAATCTCCCTCAAGAGCTTCCTTTGCCCATCTGTTAGCTACCAGCTTCTCTATACTTTTCACGTTTTTGGAGTAATCCAAGCGAAAATCTCTAACTCTGCCTACTAACTCCACTTGTAGTAAAGCAAGAACTATTTCAAAATCTTCTAGGTTTAATTTCAAAATCATCTAGGTTTAGACTTTGATGGTAAAGCACGTAAACTGAACTCTATCTCTAGGATTTCCCTGTCCTTTCTATCTCCAAAGGGGGCTACCAATGTTAGTTAAAGATGCAGACATCTGACCTTCAGGAAAAAAAACACCCTTCTTTTTAGAAAAACGAAGATTCAGGGTGGAAGTTCAGACCTCTTCTGATGTCAGGACTCGAGCATAACTCAAAATGACTCATTCTCTGGACTAAACTCAAAGCCATTTTTCATGAATATACAAGACCCTCATATTTAATTTTTTCCCCACTTCGATTCCAGCACAGAAAACTTGGACATATTCCATTCAACTATCCCTTTCCTTTATACTGACAGGACAAAGTCAACTAAAAATTATGTTGCTTTCACAGCCATCTCTATTTTTGATCCTGTAACCCCGAGTTGGGATTTCTTTTCTGGCATTAGTGTCTAATTTTTTTCCCCTTTACTTTCCTTTAGAAGTGTGAACCTTAATGTGAACCAGACTACCCATCCCATGCTTCATTGCTTCAAGTTCTCTGATTTAATTAGCTAATAGATTGATATTTAACTATACCAAAAATAAAATTATAAAAAAATAACAAGATTTACAGTTCTAATTATGCCTTTAGGATTCTGGGATTACAGAATAACCAAGTTCATGACTATTTCACCTGAAAATCACCTTTTATTTTTTCCTTTGGAACCCTACACATAGAGTGTTCTGGGTTCTTGCTTTTCTATTTCCTTTTCTTGATTGAAACTAGCCCCAGCTACTGTTATCTAGTACAAGACTAAGTATGAGCTTTTAATATTAAACTATTTATTGCTCGCACCAAACACAAAAAAGGGAAGTCATTCTTCTTAAGGGTCATTTTACTTTGTGACTGGCAATCCTTAAACAGAGATGGCTGTAAACTACTATCTAAGTTTTTCTCTCTTTAGTTTTACTTAGTCAGGGTTCTCTGGATTGGCCTTTGTCCTGAAAGGTGAATGTCGCCAAAATGGCTCCTACAAAATTCTGTTTGAATCCATAACACTGCAAACAGCCAATTGTGAGAAATGCTTTCCTCCAGAAATTATATTCTCCAGAGTACTGTGTCCACTTCTGGGCCCCTCAGTTCAGGAAGGATATTGAGGTGCTGGAGCAGGTGCAGAGAAGAGCAACTAGGCTGGTGAAGGGACTTGAGCACAAGTCCTATGAGGAGAGGCTGAGGGAGCTGGGGCTGTTCAGCCTGGAGAAGAGGAGGCTCAGGGGAGACC